CAGCTGCAACATCGTTCGGAAATTCAGACAGAGAACTGAAAAACTCTTGTGGCTGCAACAGGCACAAGAGATCATATCTGTAAAAAAAAAAAAGCTACTGGGACGTCAATTCCAGAAAATTCAGTTTCGGTACGACCGAGCAAAAAAACGATAAAGATTGGATATTCTCTTCACAACTTGGAATATTTCCAGCAAAAGCACTGTATGAACTGCTCCCGCCGCAACCGGCTCCACTTTTTTACGGCACCTCCACATATTGCGGCGTTGTTTATGTTAACAGAAGCTACCTTTAATGATCTATCTATTTACTGCACAAAGAAACACATATTTATGCGTCTTCAGGAAATCGTGACAGAAATCTCTTGATTACCTGGAAATTTAATTCAGTAAGCATTTTACGGCAGATTCTATATTATAACGAGTACGGCGACGACGCCATATCAACTACTTTTTGCTGTGAACTTATGTTCAACACCGAGGAAACGTACCGCGGATTTGGGACGAAGCAACAAAAACAATTCTCTAAACACGTAAAATGAAAGGTCAACAACTTCTAAATGAAGATCAGAAGAAACAACCTAAATTAGAAGTACTTCATTAGCGAGAATGAACTAAGTTTCACTAAACCGGCACCCGAGAATAGCTTTAATGTGTATCCAACACGGTGACTTGTAAAAAAGCTAACGAAAAAACCCCCGGAATATGTAATTAAAGAAATGATTTGTCGGCTAATTTCACGTAAGCATTTTTGTGCAGTAATAACAGTAAAATAGGAAAATTAGTAATAGTAATGGTAAGAACAGTAACAGTAACAATAGTAATAGTAGTAGTAATAGTAATACAACAATAATAATAACAGTAACAGTAATAACAAGTACCGTGACAGTTTTTCTACAGTACGAAAGAAACAACAAAGCAGATCAAACAAATACGAACTGATGGTGTTCGAAAGCGTGTTCTCATTTCCGCCGGAACTCAACACTCCCCAGCCGCTTTAATCTGATGATAATTTTCAAAACCATGTAGATCCCAAAAGTGTTCAGTTCCGTAAATTTCCCTTAATTTACAAATATGATCTTTTCGAACGCCTGAGCAAATAAAAGTCCCTAATTTTAACCAAGAAGTATTCATGGGTACCTCCCAAAAAAACCGTCACAACTACAAGTTAGAGGCACAACAGGTAAGATCCTTACTTTTGCCGCTTCAAAAAATGCTCCGGATCTTCCCTCAAGCCACAGTAGTTAAAGGCACCCATTTCAATGTACAAACTTCTCCCAGACAACCCAGTTCAGTCTTCAGTATACAAAGTTCCGGATCATTAATTTTAGCAAAACCTATCTACCACGCCCTTGGATTCATACATACACTTTTAAACCTTAGCCTTTGAAACACATCTCTGTCTGATTCAACTTGACGGTGACGAAATGTAGCATGCCGGGCAAGAATTCGATCCCGACACTACTGCCAGGTAAATACTAAAGGCTCACATTGTACTTTTTAAAGAGAATTTCTTTTGAATTACTTTCTGACCATTTCTGGTCAGCGGAAAAAAAATTTACGCAGCAAAAGACCGAACAATTCATGTTCAACCCGTTAACACACTGTACAAGCTGACTAAAGAAAACATTGAGATCTCCCTCAAAAAACCACGCATAGAGACGGTCTTCTACCAACCATATAGTAAAACCAGTCTCTTCATCATTTACAACAATGCAGAAGTTTAAAGCCGCACCAACCTAAGACAAATTTAAATAGCCACTTTCAACATTCACTGGATGTTGTCCATGGTTACTGCTTAAATTAACAAAGCCAATGAGAAAAGCGATGTCGAAACCTCCTGACGAAATACCGAAATACCCAGAGGCTGGCTGTCAGAAACAGCGGGAATCTTTGTGGATGAAAATCAT